TCAATGTAAATATTCTAGATCTAGATTAATGTAAATTCTACATCTAGAATCTATTTCGGGCCTTAATTATTTTATATAAATCTTTGTTTAGCTTCAATCATCATCTAATTCGAGAATACATGGGATTTTTTTGTTATCTACGTTCCATATCTAGATAAAGTAGGATTACTCACTAACTTGGAGGCGTGGTCGGCTGCTAACAACAATATGGCGTACGGACCGGACGCATGTCTGCCGATCATTTTTAGGCCATGTTTACCACGAACAAAATGGCGGGTGTTCACATTATTTAAACATTGTATAGGTGGCCAGGGCTAGATATGCCAGAAAAGCATTTTAAAATTTGCTTTGGAGAATGAAGGCTAAATTTTAAAGTCAGTGTCATAAACATTAATAGAACTTTTTTTTTTTTTACGTTTTCAATTATTTTTTCTTAAGCCCTATATGTGAATGATAAGGTTGACTATCAGGACCTCGCGGGGCACAGGGCAGGTGAAGTAGGGTTCATCTGTTTCTTTGTCCTAAGCAAATTAAGGGATAGTGTGGTCAGAGACATGCTCGGCTGGAATAGTTTTTGTTGTCTGAGACTTGGCGGGACACTGGGCAGGTGAAGTAGAGTTGAGTAGGTCACCTGTGACGTCAGTATATGAAGGGATAGTCCGAAATCGTTGTTTTCGGTGTTTTTAAAAGATAAAAAACATATTTTTGAATGTGGGGTCTGTTTTTGTGACGATAAGTGACACTGCAGTAGCGTAGCGAGGAGGGGGGGGGAAGGGGAGGCGGGGGGGGGGGGGAAGGGGGGGGACATATGTTGGGGCGCTAAAATGGTTTGGAAAAATAAATTGAAAGGTTGAGGGGGGTTCAAATGGAAAGTTTGAGTGGGGGGGGGGGGGGGGTGCACATCAAAAGTTTGAGGGGGGGGGGTTGAAAATCGAAATCTTGGGGGGGGGGGGGGGTTCAAATCGAAAAGTTTGTCCCCGGGCGCCGGGAAGGGTCGCTATGCCTCTGAGTGACAGACGTGATGTTTTTTGATGGATGACCCCCGAAGCCCACAGTTATCCAACGGATGACGGGTATTCTAGTTATTATTAAAAATCAATAACAGTTTAGAAGCCGCTTCTTAATGTCCTCTTTGTTTACTTTTATCTTTCGCTTTGCGGACCAGTTAGGGGTATTATAGTCGTTAACTAATCAAATTAGGCACGTCCACCGGCGCCACGGAAGGGTTCGATTTGGTGCCCTTGGAGCGTTTTAAACAGTGCGATAGTCTATGGATAAGAAAGGTTACTACAGTCTTTAACTAAATCGAATCTGGGCGTCCTCTGGCGCTCCGAGAGGTTGCTCTTTTGCGACCTGGGCCTTCTCGTCAGCGCTATGGCGCATACGTTCGATTTATACAGTGCTATAGGCTATGAATAGACTACGGATAAGAAGGGTTACTAAAGTCCCTTTCTAAATCGAATCCAGGACGTATTCTGGCGCCCCAACAGAGTGCTATTTGGCGCCCACATGCCTTCCTGTGTATGCTTTTGCGCATACGTTCATTTAAGTGAGTGCTAAAGACTATGGATAATTTAGGAATATTATACTCGTTCACTTAGTTGAATCAGGCGGTTCCGCCGGCGCCTAAGCAGGGCTCGATTTGGCGCCCCGGGCTACATATAAGTCCGTCTTTGATAACAATGTAAAATTATCCAATTTTAAATCTAATTCGATTAGATTAGCGACGACATGGGCTAGTGATTAACCTTGGTAACTCCGCATTTGTTGTTACATTTTGTAAAGATTTTAATAGAATTTTAAAGAAATAACCACTAACAACAAGGATGAATTACTACCTGATGACGAAGTATTGTTGGTCATAGATATTCAATGCAAAAAATGTGAGTCAACCGTGGACTAAACGGCAGTTGATCGCTTTCGGGTATTTAGGAAAACACTAGTATTATGTAGCACCTTCAGTTTGCAATTAGAATGCATATTTAAAATAAATACAAAACATACACCAAACTCATTTTTTAAAACTAATACTGACCTACACTTTCAGTTTACAAATGTCATAAACACTAGAATGCAAAAAAATTATAAACATTTTATTTAAAAATAAAAACTTTGTTTTGCGCTTAAAATAAAAATATAGACACATTTTTTTTCTTTTTAACTAAATAATCACATTAACATTTTACCGACCACTACAACAGGGGGTGTAAGTCTCGTTCTTCGAATTTAAATTCGAAATCTCGTCAGGGAGGGGAATAAATTTTCGAACAAATTGTATTGTTGTAACTTGATTAATAAAAAATAAAATATACATGGTAGAGGTAGGCCTATTTGTTTATAGGGCTGGTAAGTAGGTCTATAAACAGTTCTTTGGCTAATGCAGGTTTTATTGAGCCGTAGAGCTGGTTGGTGACCTACTTACCAGCCCTATAGACATCGCTTTGAGATTTTAAAATATCAAGAGTACCAAAAAAACGCAACAATCATTATCATTTTGCTAATAAAAGAACAAAAATTAAGTACCTGTTGGCCTAGGTTAAGACAATTTTAGACAATACGCTTCTTTAAAAAAAAACTCAAAATATAACCTTGGCTATATTTTTCTTTGAGCTACACTACATCTTGTAATCTGATATTATCGTCGTTCACTATTTTTAAACACTTACTAATAATAGCGTTCTATTTCTTAAACGATTGCTGTTACCGATTTAATAAAAGAATTCAAATTTGGTTTTAAAAATACTAGCTGGCAACTACAAAAAAGTGAAACTGATTACCTATTTACAGGCCCAATTATAGGCAAATGTAAATTGTATTGATTTGATTGATTTTCCCGTACAAAGAAAAAACTCCTGGTGCAGAGGGTTGACGTCATTTATATAGTTCTCTTTTACTTTTTATCACCACATAATCGGGGGGGGGGGGGGGGTGGAAATAATAATTCAAAATCGTAACAACCGTTATAGTACAGAAGACCCGTTTCTAAACAAGGTTGCCTTGGTGTGATCCCCCCGCCTCCCGCCCCCTGAGCTGTTTCTGTTCGTAAATAAGAGCACTGCCGTCTTACTGTTACTTTTCATATGCAGAAACGGAGTTAAATAATGTAATTAATTTAGTATCAATTTAACATGTGGAAGTCCACCCCTGCCCGAAGACTCACCACCTCCTTACCAATCGACATGGGTAAACAATAATTATTTTATTTTATTTTACGAAAATACAATGTGTTTATAGCGACAAGAAACCTTCCAAGTGCTTCCGACCAAACCTTACTTAAACTGTACCGGGTCGCTGCAAATGTGCTGTCTAACTTTGCTATCACATCTGCTTGATTTTAAAGGTAATCTAAAGATAGGTTCAACCCTTCTTAACTACTAGCCATCGGTACCCGTTTCACATGAATTATAGATCTATATATTTTAAAATGTTATATTTGTTTGAGAAAAATAATTTATGAAATAGTTATTGGTCAAAACGCAATGTGCTTTACTACACGCTGAACTATATTAGTGACAAAGCAAAGAAATAACTAATTAGCTAAAAATCCGACACATTTAACATAACACAGGCACACACTGATTAAGTGGCTTAAATAATTCCGTATAAAAATTTGGTCATTATGTTGTTTTTAAGTAATTTGTATTATTAGTTTGACCGATAAAATTGTATATATTTCATAGCGTGCGTCTTGATGAGTAGATCTATAGATCTAGATCTAAATCAAATTTGAATGAAGTAGTTCCTTTATGTATAGTCTAAAATCGGAAGATTCAAATTTATAAAAAAAAAATTAAAAAATAAGTTTTACTTGGTGTGTCTCGATCACGCACCACCTGCGTGGTATTAATAACACTATCATCTCAGCTATTTAGGCAGCTTAACAATCATGGAGAATGAAAGACCTATTTTAAAAGTTAAAATTACGCTAATATGCCTATTCGTTCAAATTATTTTTTTTTTATCTCAAATTAGCCAGTTCCATAGCTAAACAAACAAAGATGTCTATAAAATAATTAAGGCCTGAAATAGTTTAATATAGAAATTTATTTTTGGAATAGATTCTAGAGTAGATAGATTTTGAAATCTAGATCTTAGCGACTAAGCGTCTACGTCTAGTTTTTGCGCAGATTTAGATCTAGTCTAGATATAGAATCTGTAGATCCAGAATCCAAATAGATCGAATAAATTTTATTAGTTTAGGCTGGAAAAAATGTATTGTATACATTTCATAGCGTACGTAGATCTAGATCTAAATTTTCATAGCGTACGTAGATCTAGATCTAAATACATTTGAATAAAATAGTTCATTTCTTTTTATTCTAAACTCAGCAGATGAAGTCATTAGTTAATGTATAAACATTAGTGACGTCATTGTTTCATGGGTTCTTTTTCACAACTATAAACGCTTTTCCTGTTGTATAATTAAAACTCATTCGAATACGCCTTTATTTTTTATTTTTCTTCTTTAAATGAAATTGTGTTTATACATTTAAAACATCTAACATATTATTTTCAACAAAAGTCAGTATCAAGTTCACCATATATCGCTTTTGATTCTGATGTGATAACCTGCGAAAATATTTTGCGGACAGAGAGAGAGAGAGAGAGAGAGAGAGAGAGAGAGAGAGAGAGAGAGAAGTGCGCACATGGGCTTTTATATATTAGGATTGTCGTAATGCGATAAAAATATGAAAGTTTGGCAAATTTGAAAACGCGTGAAAGATTTCGACAAAAGTTAAAAGTGCAAAGTGAACATGTAACGAATGAGACAAAGTGTGTAGTTGTAAGTGGATTTAGCAATGTTACTGAGTTGGTAAGCTCGAAACGTTTTGGACTAACAGTAACAATCAACTGCTTTAAATAACTTCGCTTACGGTAAACGTATGCAAATCAATATATCAAACGAATTTGAAAAATATATTTACAACAGGTATTATTATATTATTTTTAGTTTAAACAATGTGATAACGAATTAATATCTAGATGCCTAATGATATCCATTATAGAGCTATATCCGTGTTTGTGTTAGTTTCGCCAATGTTCGGTTTTTTGACCAAGCAAAAAAGCTGCCTGAAGCTATGCCTGTACTTGGAACTCATGGCATAGTACAAGACCAAGGTCACGCTTGAGTGCACCACCTCGAAGAGCATGCCGAACGTCCAAGCCACGAGAAACAGGTTGGACAGTCCTCCGGTGACCTTGAACTCTGGCACGACGAACACGAAGACCGTGATGATGACCGAGGGGGTGAAAAACACGATCATGACTGAGGCGATGACGATGACCGTGCGGATAGTTTTCTGATCCCGTGGAGACACTTCCCCGGCCTGGTTAATTTGGCCCGTTGATTTCTGACGCCATTGACTTTTACTTCTCAATTTGTAAACGAGAACGGAAGTGCAGACTCCGACAATGAGAAAAGAGAGGATCATGTAAATACCGAAAAGTAAAAAACTCACACCGTCTAACCCGTGTGAGTCTGATGCGTGGATGAGTGATAACAGCGATGTGTTGGTCTTTGGGTCAAACTGCCAGCCGATGAATGTTGACATGTATTCTGGTACAAGTGTTAGAAAACAAGTGACGTAAATTGTTACAATTATTAGACATGATCTTTTCGGTGTGAGGATGCGTTTAATTTTTAACGGCGAAGAAATGCAGAGACACCTTTCAGCGGTGATGTAAACGGTGATCCAGCCGGTGATTCGCGTGAAACACAGGTGTGGCATCCCACCTGTCAGGTGCTGCACCTGCGCAGGTATCATCGGCACCCCGGAGTTGACAAAGAGCGGGTTGAAACAGAGGTTGTACCATTGCATGACAACCAGGCTGCAGAGGTCGGAGACGGCCAACCCGGTGAAGCTGATGTTGACAGTGCTACGATAACCTTGGCGGTAGAAGATGATAATGTTGATAATGTTAGCGACGATGCCGAACAGCGCGATGAGACTGCTGAGGAAAACGAGGTTGACCACCTCAAATACATGACGCGAATCGTCGCTCAACATATCACAAGACAAGGGTGATGTCTATGGTAAGGAAGACGAAGTCGATCTGATCGATGACGCTTGCTAATAACAACTATACGAAAATCTCTGGGACTTGTTAATGGTTCTCGCTTAGTCACGATCAGGTCACTGTTTTGTAAACAACATCTTTACTGTTAATATCTGAAGTCAAAACCATGTTCACTGGTTAATCTGTTAATTCCAGACTCTACTAGGTAGCCTATGTGTTTGTCTAGCACATTCATTGAGTTTTTAATGAAAGCAGCTTCCGTGCAAATCAATTAAACCCAAACTTTAAGTACGTCAAAAAAATCGTTTATAATGTTGTATTATATTCACGTTTAGTAAACATTTCTCTTAAGTACTTAATTTATATACTCTTCCAACAATAAACAGATATATATCTTCCGTTAAAAGCACGAATATGAAAAGTAGTACGTGAAACGCCATTTTAACTTGAAGAAATGTGAAAATTTGTGTTTATAATGCAAGTCGATGTCTATAAACTTGGTAGATCATGTTTCCCTTAAGGGTATTTGACCATTTAAATAGAGCTATTTCTAATTGCCATAAACCAATTTTGTGAACATAAGTGGAAAATTATGACAGGGAGAAATGATACTACAACTAATAATTTTCAGAAACTACTAAAAAATACTGATCAAACTAACCAGGGCTTTTCCAAATGACACAGTTTAAACTAATCAACTTCCGACGCAAGTTATTTTCAGAAAATACGAAAATAACACTTAAAATTCACCTATGAATCGATTTTTTTTAGTTTTATGTGCAGCTTGCATCTTATTGACAGCAATGAACTATAAACTTGCAGAGAAGTTTGAAATCAGATAAATGGTAAATTGGATTTGAAGTAATCGTAGAAATTAGTAATCGATTGATGTATAAAAAGTTTGAAACCGGTCGTTCTTAGTTCAGCACGTGTATGAAGCTCAATTCAAGACGTAATTTCTGAGCTAAATAAAACTAACCATCGATGATCGTAAACAGTCGATTGAGAAATTGAGAACAAAAATTAAAATTGTACAAGGGCTTTTTTTAATTAGGAAATTATGTTAACGTGGAAGACGACGATACATTGCCAATTACACTAAATTAGGGCTAAAATCGAAAGCCGTTTCGTCTATCATAATACAATTTCAACTCCAGAGTTAATTGTATAATACCATGTCTTTCTCGGGTCCCCCTTTCTTGCTGTATTCTATAAATGCTTTAATAATTAACTATGGTTTTTTTTAAATTGAAACGGTTAAACAATTTGATTCAGTGCAGGTTTGGCAAACACACACACATTAAATCAATAGTCGCTTCGTGTTTCTTGATTGGATAAATGTAGTTCGATTTTGACGTCTTGGTAAAACCACTGTTACGCTCGTGCTATTGTAAAGCGTAAATATTGGTTACTTTGCTTGTTTTGTTTTAGCTACTACAGTTATAGATATCTGGAGACTAAATATTCTAGTTATTACAGTTATAGATATCTGGAGACTAAATAATCTAGTTATTACAGTTATAGATATCTGGAGATTAAATATTCTAGTTATTACAGTTATAGATATCTGGAGACTAAATGTTTATGAGGAGAACATTTGCTAGTAACGAATTTAAATGTTTGCTGAAGTTTCTTAAAGACAGTACTTCTATAAACAGCCGTTTGATTATTGAAATTTCTCTACTCGGTATTGGCTGCCGACGCCCCAAAATCATGAAAACAAACTATTCTCAGTTTGGCCACAATAGTCGTCGGAAACTGGCATCTGTTTATGTATTTGTCGAGTTGCCTGGTGGTACATTGCTGTGGAGATATATAGGCCTATTCGGCGATCGGCACCTGGCGACATCGTCAGAAAAAACTGACAGCTTGACAATCAACAGTCTTCCTGTTAGAATACGAAAAGTTTCCCTTGAATTTATAGTCAACGAAGAAATGATATGCTACTTATTCTATCGAAGTATGTTCTATGCAAACTAGTACTAATTGGTGTAATATCAGGAGTGTGAGACTTTTAGAGTAGACGCTATTAATTTTCAAATTAACCAAACCCATAAGGTACTTGGGCCTAATAGAGGTTAAAATGTGTACAATTTGTAATGTTGCTTCAAGCAAAATATATTTATGAAATGGAAACGAGCGTTGATATCTCTACATTTTTGTCCAGTTCGCACTTGTATAAATAAGATGCTTGTGGTCGGATGGCAAAATAAATCTATTGTGTAGCCAATATTATACCCAGCTGCCTTTACTTTTTGTAACGTGAGCTAGATACACATCACGATGCATTGACTTAAACCCGGATTCGAAATCGACGCTTTCGTGTTCGCAGACTATCGCTCTACTGTTGTAGGTGGATGGTCGACCTGTTAGAGAGTTACGTCATCAAGTTTGTTGTTCTAGACAACAGGTGGGTTCACTCTTATTTTTATGACTTTATGAAACTGTAATCTACATACTTCATAAATTCAAGTTGTGTACAAGTTTGTATATTTTTTTTTGTCCTTACGGTTACATGAGAGCATCTGCACTATGTCTAAAAATGTAAAATACGTATTTATGTAGAAAATAATGTGCTTTTTAGCAAACTGTTAATCACAAATTCATTTAAAGACGTAAATTAATTAATTGATATTTAAGTTTGTAAAAACACCACTTTACTTATAAAATGTTCAGAACAAATACTTTATTTATAGTGACGTCACATGATTCATTTTTTTTATTTTTTTTTTAAAGCATGGCGGCTTCCTTAGAAGATAATTATAAAGTTTAAAGAATTTTTAAAACTAAATTTTCTGTCGGCTATAGCTTTAACGAAATGATTGATGACTGAGCCCTTTTTTTTTAGGCTCCAACAGTATTATTAATGTATAACAGTTCTTCTTATTTGAGTATACAATAAATTTATCTAGATCTACAGATAAGCTGTCGGAAGAAGGAAAAGTTATAGATCTAGGTCTAGAATCTAAGTCATGCGGGTGGTAAGGGTTAGAGATTCATCATGCCATTGAAAATTATTTTAGATATGAATTATAAAGAATCGGGACTTGGAGGAACACCTGGCAGGTGATGTAGAATTCACCCGTTTCTTTGTCCTGAGCATATTAAGGGATAGTGTGGTCAGAGAAATGCTTAGCCAAAATCGTTTTTTTTTTTAAAGACAAAAATATGTTGCCTGAAGTGTGACGTCTTTTTGAATGTGGGGTCTGACTTTTTGTGACGATGTATGACAGTGGGAAGGGAAGGGGAAATGTAAAGATATGGATTACTCTCAAAACACGTGGGACGGAGTGGTCTAGCGGTAGAGAGCTGGACTTCTAACCCGTAAGTCTCGAGTTCGAATCCGGGTTCAAGTCAGTAGACCGTCCCTGAGCCCACCCAACTCTGATGGGTATCTAACTCACGTTAGGGAAAGTAAAGGCGGCTGACCACACTATCTCTTCATATGCCGAGGTCACAGAAACAAGTGAACTCTACTTCACTTGCCCCATAGACCGTCAGGTTTGAAAGGGAAACTTACTCCCAAAACACACGGTTATTTAATAATAACGGATAATCTAGTGTTATTTTTAAAAATAAAGTCCAAATTAAGTTAACTCACTAACGAATTAGTTCTATGCTTTTTCTGGAAATGATAATCTGGAGGCATCTATGAGATTATGTAATTTCAAGATTGATGAATTTAATGACGATCCCAGACTGGTGTCCACATTTCCTACAGTTTCTGGAGACATTTGCTACAACCAGACAGAACCTGCAACAATTGGTACCTTCACGTGGAAATATTGGAAAATACTGCTGACGTATGCTAATTTAAAGAATAAAAATTACTTAGTATAAAATGTGTGTGTGTTAAATAAATGATTATCTCATAATCATTACAACATAATTAATATGTATTATTTGTTTGTTTTTGTGAGATGCAAGTGATGTCCCCTTTACAAACACAAGTCAACGAATTCAAAGTTTATAAAAACCAGATGCTAAACACGACGGCAATGTCTAAAGTCACCGTGTCAAGGTCCGTGATGTGTGTTCCGAATGTGCAAAGAAACGTTACACAGACGGCTGTACGGCTTTCAACTGGTTCCTTTCTACTCGTCTGTGTCAATTACTGAATGTTGATACGAGAGTTGTAAATGTTGTGGCACAACTTGTTACCGCACTTGATGTCAATTTCTATCTCGTTAAATTAAATTAAAGAAACATATATCAGAAGATGTTTTTGTATAACAAATCGCAGAAAAATTGTGTGACCACAAAAGACAACATCACACAGCTAAGTACAATACCACCTACCATACCACTGAACAATGACACGATAACATACAACATACACCACAATTTTAATAGACAAAATCCACGACACACATTTCACTAAATCACAAAGCACAAAATATTTCTCTCTCCAGAATACACGTCTTTTTATCCAATACATACACTACATTTACGATATACCTTGCTCCGAAACACACACACGCCGAATAACACAAGATTTAGAGCAAGCGCCTCACCACCACACCATACTCTCCAAACAATATCACACATCTCACCGCCCTTATTATCTACACCATAAATCATATAACAAACAAAACATCGCCCTCAACACACCATCTTTGCACCTTACACAACCCCTTCCATCAACACTACCAGCTTAACCAATACAACACCTACTAACCCAACAATTCACACCCAAGCCTTCACAACATACATACTACTCCCCAAACTTCATACCTAACCCACCACACACATACATATGCCATTAGAAACATATTATTTTGAAGAACCCAACAAGACACTATCCTATATCCCACGCAGCACGATTCATGAACTTAACACTAGCCTACACTACATCCTAACACGAACTACACCCAAACTCTATCCAAAACCCAACCCTACACACATACCTATGAACCAAAATGTTCCCGACTTCATACTTTAAAACGTATATCTCAAGTCCACATTGACAACACACTTTTCACAACCTACA